AGGCACGCGCCACCATGCCCAACTAATGTTTTTTTGTATTTTTAGTAGAGACGGGGTTTCACCATGTTGACCAGGATGGTCTCGATCTCTTGACCTCGTGATCCACCCGTCTCGGCCTCCCAAAGTGCTGGGATTACAGGCTTGAGCCACCGTGCCCGGCCTTCATAAATTCTTTTTACAGTTCATTCATTTAGCTTAGGAAAGAAACACTTGCAAAAGTTCGTTTGGATTGTTTGTATGTTTGCAGCATGATAGGCATGTCTAGTGTGTTTGGCCTTCTCTCCTAAGCTGAAATATACTCATGGGGTGCGGGTGGGGGGGAGGAATTTAATATTGCCAGGAATATTTGCTGTTTGTCCCAGCTGAAACCTGATTGTAAGATATTTTAAAAGGATTTTTTAAGAGCTCTATCATCATAAGTCAGCTTGCTTGGAAGCTTGTAATTTTGGTGGGGATGAGGGGTGCGGGGAGGTTTCTGTTCTCTCTGTTGGATCCTGCTTCTCCCATGAAAACTTCTCAGTCAACTAAACCCCTCCTCTTGGGCCCCTGCTAACTATATGCTCTGCCCCGTCTGTCTGCTTTCTTTCTTGTGGGCGTGATTTTTGGCTATTTAAAAATTGAGCAAATGAAATATCTTAAAAGTCTTTTCTATTAATACTAGTAAAAGGCATTATCTGATTTGATTTAGAGATAAATGAGCATACCTAAAACTGCTAGAAATATAGGAACTAACCCAAAATGCTTGTCAAGTTTACCTGACGTGGAAAAATCGTTGGCAAATAAGACTAGTTTAATATTATTCATTTAATAAAAACAGCTGTGTCTTCTGGATTATCAATGAAATATCCATGTGTTTTACTTTAGGGTTCCTGCTTTAGCAATGACTGCCTGATATGCACATGATGTATAAATGGTTAACGGGAAAATAACCTGAGATGATGGCTAGCTTTGTCTAATGTTTCGTTTAACTTTCATGAGTATTCTAGGCATAATTGTTAAAAACAAGTGATCTGAATAGCTATAACTTGGATAAAGTTTATAAATGAACTTTTTAACAACAATTATGTTTTATTGTATGTCTGCTTAAAAAATCTCTTTATTAACTGCACCCTTAGGGTTTTGGTAGCTTAAATTAAATGATAGATATTCACTGAATAACTAGGTTATTTCCAATTAACATAAAATACTAAAACATAAATTACTGGACATAAGTTTAATTTTATTTTTGGCTTTTAAATTTTTATAAAAAGACTAAATATATTTGGATCTGTTAGCAAATATGAAAAAACTGTCCTATGAGGAAGCACGTTTCCAGAAATTATAAAATGATAAGACAGTTTACAATGCTTGCTAGTTTTTATTGAAAATTAAGATTTCTAAGAATTTGTAAAAATTCTAATCAATATATGGGAACTAACATTAAAAAGGAAGGCCAGGCGCAGTGATTCACACCTGTAATCCCAGCGCTTTGAAAGGCCAAGGCAGGTGGATCACCTGAGGTCAGGAGTTTGAGACCAGCCTAGCCAAAATTGTGAAACCTCATATCTACTAAAAATACAAAGTTAGCTGGGCATAGTGGTGCATGCCTGTAGTCCCAGCAACTCAGGAGGCTGAGACGGGAGAATTGCTTGAACCTGGGAGGTGGAAATTTCGGTGAGCCATGATTACACTGTTGCACTCCAGCCTGGGCAACAAGAGCAAAAAAATGGAAAACTGACTGGGCGCGGTGGCTCACGCCTGTAATCCTAGCACTTTGGGAGGCCGAGGTGGGTGGATTACCTGAGGTCAGGAGTTCAAGACCAGCCTGGCCATCATGGTGAAACCCCAGCTTAAAAAAAAGAAAAAAACATGAAAAATAAATTTTAAAAAAATTAAAAAGGAAAAGGAAAATAACTCCATATGTGAAGAAAGTAAGACATGCTTTGGGTAAGTAGAGCTATGAAGTGTGAAAGATGAGTTTTTTGGTAAGGAAAGTCTAAAGGTGTTTGAATATTTTGTTTTGTTTAGGAGGATCCATAGATGTTTGCCTTAACATAGGACAGATATCATCATGCATTTGCAGGTTTCATGTTTACAGTCACAAAATTCACATTTCTTCAGGGCTATGGTAATTCTTCTCTCCATCATAATAGAATAAAAGGGTCTTGAACTGTTTGACCGCCCCACAGAACACCACTTCGATGATGTCATGTTAACTGGACCTAGTGAGCAGGAAGTGGCAAGAACTCTGAAGGCCTTGGTAAGACACATGTGCTTCAGAGGGCAAGGGATGACTCCTACAAAGTTCAACATCTTTCAATGAAAAAATATTCACAAAGTTAGAAATAGAAGGGATTTGTCTTAATTTGATAAAAAGCTATAAGAAAAAAATCCTACAGCACATTATACAGACTTAGCATAGAATTTTAGATGCATTCCAGTAAGATCAAGAACAAGGAAAAACATGCCTGGTATCCCAGCTGGATACCACAATGCTAGGGGTCCTGGCCAATACAACAAGAAAAATTATAAGTGTTAAAATGGGAAGAAAAAAACCTGTTATTAGTATTCACAGATGATACGAGCATACAAAGAAAATCCAAAATAATCAAGACACTAAAACCCATATAAGAGTTAAGGAAAGTGTCCAAATATAAGATCAATTGGCTAAAAAAAATCTGATATTTCTTCCAAAACTGCATAATCTGAATCTAATCATTAGGAAGCATCAGATAAGCCAAAATTAAACAACATTCTAAAAATAAAGTGGCTTGTGGTGGTGCGCAGAAGATGTCCATGTCCTGATCCTCGGAACCCATGAATATATTAGATTACATGGCAAACGGGAACAGGGATTGCAAATGGAATGCAAGTTGCCAGTCAGCTGATTGTGAGATGCGGAGCATACCCTGGATTATCCTGAGGGAGCACCTAATGTAATCACAAGAGTCCAAATAAGTGGAAGACAAAGACAAAAGAGAGAGAACCAGACAGATGGCAGTATAAAGTTGCTGGCTTTGAAAATGGGAGACTTGAGTCAAGGAAAGGGGGTCGCCTCTAGAAGACAGGAATGGATTCTCCTCTAGAGCCTTCGGAAGGAGTATAGCCCTGCCAGCACCTGATATGAGCCCACTGAGACTCACTTCAGACTTTACACCTCCAGAACTATAAGATAATTAGTGTCATTTTAAGCCATTAACTTTGCAGTAATTTGTTACAGCAGCAATAGAAGTTAAGGTACTAGCGCCTTCAAACACATCAAATGTTTTATGAAAAAAAAAAAAAAAAAAGAGAGAGATCCAAGATGGCTGATCACTAGCAGCTCGGGATTGCAGCTCCCACTGAAAGAGCAGAGAGCAAGAGGACGCCACACTTTCAGATCAATTTTTGTTGCTCACACACCAGGAGATTCCCAGCGGAGGAGCCCCACGTGTCGCCAGCGCGACTCTTGAGGCCGGCGAGGCGGTTTTGCCGCTGCCTTGGTGTGGCGGTTCTTGGTGCAGAGTCAGAAAACCACCGTCAATCTTAAAGCCACTCTTCTGGCCGGAGCAGTGGGTTGCTCAGATTCTAGCCCCGGGAATCAACAAGTTGGACGTCCATTCAGAAACCCAACTATAAAGACGGTAATTATAAAGACCACAGATGGATAAATCTATAACGAAGGGAAGAAAACAGCCTAAAAAGGCTGAGAATACCCAAACTCAGAACGCCTCTCCCTCGACAGGGGATCACAGTTCCTCATC